TTTATTTATTTATTTTTATGTGGTGCTGAGGATTGAACCCAGGGCCTAGGCGCATGTGCTAGGTAAGCGCTCTACCGCTGAAGCCACAACCCCAGCCCTCCCTCAAAACTTTACAGACATATTGTATATTAAATGTTTCTCAGAGGAAATTTGAAGTCTGTTTTCTTCCACTTTGGGTAATTTGTCCTCTATTCTTGATCATTATCATTATTAGGTTACATCTTGATTATTTTATATATTTTCCCCTGGAATTGAGTGTGCCCTTTCAATCTGGTCCATGCAGATATTTTCAGGCATTTCATTTATTTATTTATATATGATAAATTTAATTGATTTAAAATTCTGTCAGATAGTTCCAATATCTGAAGTTTATGTGGGCCTATTTCTTCTGTATTTGTTTCTGCAGCTTCTCTTTCATGTTGTCTTTGTTTCTTTGTATGCCTCATGATTTTTTCTCTTTTTATTTATTTTTTTTTCTTTTTAGACATGACAGTAGAGTATATTTTGGCACATTATACATACATGGAGTATAACTTATTCTAATTAGGATACCACTCTTGTGGTTGTACATAATGTGGAGTTTCACTGGTCATGTATTCATATATGAATATAGGAAAGTTATGTCTGATTCATTCTACTATCTTTTCTATTATAGACTGAATTTTCGATTGAATTATAGATTGCATTTTCCAACTTCTCAGACAGCCAGATCTCCCCTTCCCTTCATTCCCCTTTCCCCCTTCCCTTCATTTCCCTTTGTCTAGTCCAATGAACTTCTGTTCTTTGTTTCTCACTCTTCATTGTGTGTTAGCATCCACATATCAGAAAGAACATTTGGCTTTTGGTTTTAGGGGATGGGCTTATTTCACTTAGCATGATTTACTCACATGATTGATTTCCCTTAAAATGGATTTGTGGGGTGTCCACAAAGCTTTTCTATAACTCTAAAAAGGGTTTTCATTTGCTTCAGTTGGGATATTGGAAACATGTATAGGGGACTACCACAAATCAAGATTCATCACAAACCAAGCTTATAACTTGAAGTTTCTTGCAATTTGACCTATGCATGTTCAAAAAACAATATACAAAAGAATCAATCAATAGCTACAACTTCTGAGGCATATTTTATTTCCCATTCTAAATTCCTTGGAACTAGAGGGAGGGCAAATTTTGATCTGTTGATGTTTAGATTGTGTTTACATTATAATATAACCTTGTACAATCCCTTTATATGGGTAATACTTTCCTATAATATGGTTGCAAATATGAACCAAAGCCTTGGTTTATATTTCTTTAATTGCACATAACTTCAGATCCAAGCCAAATATGAATGTTTAAAAATTTCCCAAGGAAAGTTGGTTGTTCTTATATATTACTTACTCCTCTGTTGTAGGTTTAACTGTGTTTTCTACTGCTTTTAGTATATTATTCTACTAGGTTTTTAGCCTTCTTTAAAAAGTTATGTCCACCACTTTTTTTCCACAGGAAGGTCATCTGAATTGTCTACACCATAATTTTCAGAAATAAAAAGCTCTTGGGCCAGGGTTGTGGCTCAGTGGTAGAGCACTTGCCTAACCCTTGGTCCCAGTGGGTAGTTGAGGATATAGGTCAGGTCTGAGTTAGTATGATATACACTCTAACTTTACCCAAATATACATTATTCCTTTATTATGTTAAAATGAGACCTCCCACATTTTAGCTTCCCAAGTAGATATGTGAATTACAGATTGCATTTTCCAACTTCTCTGACAGCCAGATGTGATCTTGCAACTAAGTTATATCGATGTAGTACTTCATGGGAGTATTTTTCAAATGAAGGAACATCTCTCTTCCTTTTATTTGTTGGTATGACTAGAGATATAATAGCTAAGAAATAAAATCCATGGACTAAGAAATAAAAGTCATGTTCTGAATACATCAAGTCAATGATAAAATAAGACTGATCCCAGGTATCATGGAGTTCATTTCAGCTACCAGATTCCTTTTATAGGAGAGATTAATAAAACTTCATTTTAAAAAGCCATTGTTATGGCAGAAAGATCAATGGAAGGAAGAGAGTAGGGGGTGGGGGGAAAGAAGTGTAAGGAGAAGTACTAGGGACTGAATTAGAACAAGATACATTCCATGCTTTTATAATTATATAAAAATGGATTCTACTGTCATGTATAACTAAAAAGAACAACAAAAAATGGGTAGAATAGTGTATGAGACAACATAGGAAAATCTTAGAAGCAGGAAAGCAGGTGGATACCTTAGTAGACCTGACAACCCAACACCAACCCTGCAATGGGGTAAGGTGAGAACCAATCCTGTTTAGACTGCAGACAGTTTAGAGGTATCAGCTAGATACTCTGGAAATAATGGTAGGGTGCTTTGTAAGGAGAACTGTGTTAAAGCTGCCTGAGAAGCAGTTAAATCTTTAGCAGTTGGATCACATTTCTCCACTTCAGTCACTGAGTAGCCTATCTCCCTGGCCCTAACAAGTCTAGAGTTTAAACTGTGATGAGTGTGAAAAGGCAAGGTCCATTATAAAAAAGGTTCTACTGGCAAAACTGAGGACAGTGGTAGTGAAAAGTAAGTAACCATTAATTATAATTTTGAATGTTGATTGTTAAAAAGATATGACAGTCATTAGAATCAATTACAAATACTTAAGTTCCCTTTTCAGACACATGATAGAATTTCAATTCTATTTTTTTAAGTTATGTATGGCCATGTAATTTCCTTTCTGAGCTGAAATTTTCAGATACAGTGAATAGCTCAACACATTTTTTCCCACCACGGTGATGATGAGCAAAACCTGGATTCCTAACTGACTGCTGTAAGGAGGGCCCGGTGATGAAATGTACAGGATATATAGCATGAGAAAGAAATCAACATTCTATGAATTGGCCCATTCAGATTAGTGAGTTGTTTGATAATGAACCTAGCTTATCCTGATGTCAACTTCCAATCCCCTTTCCCCACTCAATCCTTTACCTTTTTCAATCCTTACTTTTTCCTTTTGGGTAAACTATGGGGGAAGAGCTAATCATATTATCAGGGTTTCCTCAGTCATCAGTGCTCCCAGTTGGCCTTGGAATGAAGATCAAAATGGACCAGCACTAACAACTTGCTCAGAGCTGTGTTATACCTCTTAATCTCCTGAAATGAATTAAGAACAATCACTTGGGATTGGGATGTAGCTCAGTGGCAAAGCACTTGCCTTGTGTAGGTGGGTTTGATCCCCAGTTCCAAAAAAGAAAGGAAAACAAAAAAGACCCAAACCAAAAAAAGAAAGAAAAAAAAAAGAACAATAACTTGAGGTTTCCAGAAAGAAATATAATAATCAAAACAAAGCAAAGGAAAGAGTAACTGGAGGAAAATAGAAGTTTGCAAAAGAACAACAGAAGGAAAATTATTATTAACATCATCAGATAAAAGAAGACATTAATGCATTTAAGAAATAAGTACACGGAGAGCTCTTGGAAAACATGAATATAATAAATTAAAATATCAGTAGAAGAGCTTGAAAATAAAGTTTTAGAAAATATCCTAGGAAATACTGCAAAATTGACAAACAGAAAAGAAAAAGAAGAAGGAAATTAGAACCATATCAGAGGTCCAACATTTGAATCACAAGAATTCCAAAAGGAGAGAGGAAGAGAAAGAAATTATCAATGAAGTGATTTAAGAATATTTTTTAACAGATGGAGGAAATTATAAAGATATCTTGTTACATTTATGATCACAACAAAATATCATTCTTATTTATCCTTCTCTGTAAATTACAGGAAGATGTGTATCAAAATGAGAAAGTAAAGAGGAAGACAAAACAAAAAATAAAAGATGCAAAATAAGACAAGTGAAATCAATCTCCAGATGATATTGAAGGATGATCCCAGGATGACAACTGTGTCTCAAGCATAATGAACATAACAGTAGTCCAGTCTGGACTTGTGTGACTCAAGAGATAGCCATTTTGAAGATATTATCAGTGAGCCCCTTGATATTGTATCATCATTTCCATCAGATGACCCTATTGGAAAATGTGATCTATTAACATCATAGATAAAATGGGAAAAGATGAAAATATAAACCAGAATAAAAGGCAAAGAGTATTCCAAGAATGACAGCAAAGGGAAGTTCCAAGATAGAACCTGAAAATAAATAGTTCTGCTGTGGTTGTAGTAAGCAGCCTCTCAATTTAAAGAAAAATTGATGTCTCAGGAAAGATGGTAATCACCATTTTGAAAGGCAACTGAAATTATTGAAAGCATAACAAGAAATGAAAAAGCAAGGCAATTATTAACTTCAAGAATAAATAAATATAATTAGTACATAACAAGGTTCCCAATGTTACGAGTGAAAAAAAAGTATGAAAGGGTTAAAATGTAATCCGGTGTATTAGGGAATCAATTGGTGATCTGTAAAATCAATCAAGATAACATCAGAATAGAGACTAATGGAAAAAAATACCTAAGGAATTTTAAATGGCTGCCTCTTTATTTGGGGTGGGAATCAGGAAAAATGAGAAGGGAAATGGCAGAGAACCACTGTATTTTATTATAAGCCTCTCAGCACTATTTGGTTTTGAACAAAAGTCATATGTTATTTTGAAATAAAATACATTTTAAAATATCAGTAAAATAAAGCTTTTTTAAGCCTCAAAAACAGGAGATAAAATACTAAATGTTGTTATAATAATAGAGATACAACTAAAGGTAAGTAATACAATAAAATTTGAAAACTAGAAAAAAATGTTTTTAAATAAAATACAAGTTACTTAAAAATCACTCAAAACATGAACAGATTTATAACCAAAGGTGAAATGGAAAAAATGGTCATGGATCTACCATCAGCAAAGTCACCATTCCAACCAGTTTACAAGGAAAGCTGTAATTAAGCTTGTAGAAACAAATAATAATAATAATAATAATAATAATAATAATAATAATAATAATAATAATAATAATGATATGCTTATAAAAAACTAGTCTGCCATACAAAAGTAGATGGAAGGCTTCCTAACCCATTCTATGAGACCAGAATGATAGTTCAATACCAAAAACCATAGAAGTTAAACACACACAACCATGTGGGGCAGAAAAATCCTAAAATCATGTTGACACATCAAATCTATCTGTGCATCAAAACTATAAGACATCATGGTTAAATTTCATTCATATCAATGACTCAAGAATAAAAAAACTTAAGTATAAAGAGAAAATTTAAACAAACATAAAATTACCTTAATTGTGAAAGAATAAAGAAAAGAAGATTGATGTTTTTTGAAAGTATTCTTCTCAAATTGAGATCAACCACCAGTAGTTAAAGATGCAATACTAAAAATATAACTGCAAGATTGACTTAACTTGCTACTACAATTTTAGAGTATTCACTGGATGTTGGAGATCTTGGCCATTGAAATTGTTTATGAATAATAAATTATAAATAATACTTAAGGTAAGTGAAGGTTGAAGGCTGTGCAGCATAAAGTGTTCTAGAAAATACCATGGGTGAAGAGTGAAGACCTTTAAAATGTAAGGATTATATAATGCACAAGAAACTGATAAAGATCTGTTATTCTGCTTGTGTAGACTTCCTCATTGCTAAGTGACTTACAAATAAACAAAATATCCTGAACCAATATTTCTTGGCTTCTTGATTAAGGCTTCATTTTCTTTCATATTCTTTACTATCAATTTTTGGGATAGGAGAAGGTTTTCTTCAGATTTTTAAAAGATTTTGATAGGGAGCTAGAGTTTAATTTATTGTCCCTAGATTTAAGAAAACAAGAGATTCATTTTTTTCTACGAATTCAGATTATCACAGGGGGAAATGAGAACAAGCTATTACTTACTAGCATTACTGCAACCACTTGAAGAAAAGAGGTGACATGAAACAGCAAGGACACGAAAAACTCAGTCCTGTTGCAGAATGCCTTCAATCCGCCATCTTTTTTTTTTTTTTTTTTTTCTTCCCCTATTCTTGAGAATAGGAATAACAAGCACAAAACGCAAGGTGGCGCTGCTGGCTAAAAAGAGAAGGGGGAAAAATATCCTCACAAAGAATGTTACAGATTCCCAGCGTAAGTCTGGCCAGAAGGGAAGAGGAAAGGAAATCGCGGAGATAAGCGTTAGGGAAAAGTGGGGATCTCTCTCCACGAGAAATGCCCTTATCCCACCATCTCTAAGGATTTAGTTCCTGCCCTTTCTGAGAGCTGCTTGAGGCCCAGAGGTTCTGTTTTTGAAAGATTGACAAATAATGGAGACCAGTGGGGAGCACGCTGTACAGAAAAGGCAAGTCCTGTTTTTCTGTTTATTTCTGGGAGTGTTTGGGGCTGGCGCGGAACCGCTTCGGTATTTTGTGGCGGAGGAAACTGAGAGAGGAACTTTTCTGGCCAATTTGGCCAATGACTTGGGGTTGAGGGTGGGAGAACTCTCAGACCGACGGTCTAGAATTGTTTCAGACCAGAATATGCGATTTTTGCTGCTCAATTCGCTTACTGGTGATTTACTTCTAAATGAGAAATTGGACCGGGAAGAACTATGCGGCCCCACAGAGCCCTGTGTGCTTCCTTTCCAGTTGTTATTGGAAAAGCCTTTTCAGATTTTCCGTGCTGAACTACAAGTCAGAGACATCAATGATCATTCTCCAGTCTTTCTGGACAAAGAGATTCTCTTGAAAATATCAGAAAGTACAAATCCAGGTGCAGCATTTCCTTTAGAAAGTGCACAGGATTCAGATGTTGGAACCAATAGCCTGAGTAATTACACCATCAGCCCTAATGCCTATTTCCACGTTAATGTCCATGTTGGTGGGGAGGGGAATCTTCTTCCTGAATTGATACTTGATCAAGCGCTGGATCGAGAGGAGATACCTGAGCTCAGTTTAACCCTCAGGGCCTTGGATGGCGGCTCTCCGGGCCGATCCGGAACCACGCTATTACGCATCCTGGTGGTAGATGTCAACGACAATGCCCCTGAATTTGTGCAGTCGCTCTACAAAGTGCAGGTACCTGAGAACAGCAGGGTTGGCTCGCTGGTCGTCACTGTCTCAGCTAGAGATTTAGATACAGGAAGTAACGGGGAAATAGTCTATGCATTTTTTTATGCCACTGAAAGAATTCTCAAAACATTTCAAATCAATTCAACATCTGGGTATCTTTATCTTAAAGCCAGATTGAACTATGAAGCAATTCAAACTTATACATTAACTATTCAGGCCAAAGATGGTGGAGGACTTTCTGGAAATTGCACAGTGATTGTTGAGGTAACAGATATAAATGATAATCCACCAGAAATTCTCATATCATCACTTACTAGTCCAATTGCAGAAAACTCACCAGAGACCGTGGTTGCTGTTTTTAGGATTAGAGACAGAGATTCAGGGAACAATGGGAAAATGGTGTGCTCCATCCAGGATGATCTCCCCTTTGTCCTGAAGCCATCTGTAGAAAATTTCTATACATTGGTAACAGAGAGATCTTTGGATCGAGAGCAGAACACTGAATACAGCATCACAATCACTGTCACTGACTTGGGGACACCAAGGCTGAAAACTGAACACAACATTACTGTCCTTGTCTCTGACGTCAACGACAATTCCCCTGCCTTCACACAAACATCCTACACGCTGCTAGTGCATGAGAACAACCAGCCCGCCTTGCACATCGGAAGCATCAGAGCCACAGACAGAGACTCAGGCACCAACGCCCAGATCACCTACTCGCTGCTGCCAACCCAGGACCCGCACCTGCCCCTCACCTCGCTGGTCTCCATCAACGCAGACAATGGGCAGCTGTTCGCGCTGAGAGCACTGGACTTCGAGGCCCTGCAGGCATTTGAGTTCCACGTGGGCGCCACAGACCAAGGGTCGCCTGCACTCAGCAGCCAGGCGCTGGTGCGAGTGGTGGTGCTGGACGAAAATGACAACTCGCCCTTCGTGTTGTACCCAATGCAGAACGCCTCTGCGCTCTGCACCGAACTGGTGCCCAGGGCGGCAGAGCAGGGCTACCTGGTCACCAAGGTGGTGGCGGTGGATGAAGACTCGGGCCAGAACGCCTGGCTGTCATACCAGCTGCTCAAGGCCACGGAGCCAGGGCTGTTTGGCTTGTGGGCGCACAATGGCGAGGTGCGCACCACCAGGCTGCTGAGCGAGCGCGACGCGGCCAGGCACAGGCTGGTGGTGCTGGTCAAGGACAATGGCGAGCCTCCGCTGTCTGCCAGCGTCACGCTGCACGTGCTGCTGGTGGATGGCTTCTCCCAGCCCTACCTGCCGCTCCCAGAAGTGGCGCCCGACCGCGCGCAGGGGGACTCGCTCACTGTCTACTTGGTCATCGCCCTGGCGTCGGTGTCGTCTCTCTTCCTCTTCTTTGTGCTGGTGTTCGCGGCGGTGAGGCTGTGCAGGAGGCGCAGGGCGGCGCCGCTGGGTGTCTGTTCTGTGCCTGAGGGACATTTTCCTGGCCACCTGGTGGATGTCAGTGGCACCGGGACACTGTCTCAGAGCTACCAGTATGAGGTGTGTCTGAAAGGAGGTTCAGGGACCAACAGTGAGTTCAAGTTCCTAAAACCAATTTTCCCCAATATACTATCCCAGAGCATAGGGAGGGAAGTGGAGGAAAATCCCTCATTTCAGAATAATTTGTGTTTCTCATAAAGAATGATATATAAGCCCTTCTGTCTGAGGATGTATTCCTAGTTAGAAACTTACCCTGGATACCTGTAAAGAAGTGACTTTGCAGTATTTCATAACTCTTAAAGTCAAAGAAGGATCCAGCTTAATTCCCAAGAACCATCCACAAGCATGAAATATATATGTGTCATGTTTTATTCCAAACAATTATGCTTAATGTGCAGTTGGAGAAGTTTAAGGGCAGTTAAATTTATTTAGAGTTATTTTAAATTGCTCTCCATTGTCTTCATTCTTTATTGCTAGTTTTCATAGTTGACTGGGATTCTGTACAAGTGTACCTACTATAAGTTTGGGGAGCAGAGATTGTAGAGTATTTTCTAAAGATTTTTTTCAAAGCACATATGGTCTAGCATACACTATCTTAACACAATTAATCGCCAATGAAACCTATGAGAGGAGGTATTTCAGAAGCGAGCAAATATATGGTCATAGTGACTCAGTAAGGTCACCAACTAGTAAATAGCAGAACTGAGAATCTCCTAGTTATTTTTGTTGGTATCATGGCACCAATAGTTTTCTTTCATTAGATAGTACTTGGCATGTTTCTAAACAATAAAAGAGTTTTTTTTGTTTTTTTTTTATCACGCTGCTGGGTGTAATGATATTACTACCTACTACCGGTCTGTAGTTTTATTATTTTAATAAACCAACAAGCCATCTTTTATGAAACAGTTATTCAACTATTACTATTAAAGATCTGATCTAACCAAATATCAAGTAAAACAAATTGAAAGATCAACTAGTGCTTTTTCCTAAACATATGTTTTTCATTCAACAGAAAAGATTAATGGTCCTGAGTAGGGATATTACATAATTTTGTTGCTTCATTAGCTTATTATTTTCCTCACATTACAGTGTTTCTTCTGCAGTATTTCATAGCTACATTCATAATACTTTTTCCCAATTTAATTTAAAATTTTATTTTTAAGAATTTCCTACTAATTTAATGCAGTGCTTAGTCAGAAAAAAATAATAAAATGAATAATGTAGTATCAAATAGTATCAAAGAGAAACATAAACTGTTAATAAATTTTAGAAATTATGGTGCATTAAGGAGAAGCTTTGTATTTAAAAATTATCCAGAACTGGAGGTGTAGATCCGGGATACAGCACTTAGCATGCTTGAGTGCTCTCAAAATATTATATATTATTGCCAAAAATAGTATTAGTATCAATGTACAGTACTAGTGGGATATAGTCTACAGATAAAATACAGTAATAAAATCTTAAATTGTTTTCAATAACTTCTCAACAAACAAATAGCATGGAAATTGAAAAAGGGAAGTTTACGAAGTAAAAGAACTTGAGAGACTTTACAGCCAAATACAATGTGTGTATCTTGCTTGATATTGACTGATTTTGAATACACTAGAGAAATTTGAATATATATGAATCTTAATTAATATTAACAATTTCTTAGGTATGATAATGACATTGTAGTTTAGGTTTAAGTTTTTACAGTGAGAAATGCATAACAAAGTACTTGTGGATGAAAATTCACTTTTCCTAGAATGTGAAAATGTTGGATTGATGGGATAAAATATTATGGAAACATATTGATAACTTTTGAAATTAGTGATCAGTACATGGAGGGTTATAATATTATTCTTTTATGGGGCTTGAGAGTTTTTTTAAATGACAAGGTTATTAGAAGTTGATTCTGTGAGAAAAGAAATAGAGGTAATCAAAAAAGACATTCTTCCAAGATATATATTTACTACTGCTGTCACAGATTGTACTGAATTTATGCCTCTATTTAGACAAGATTTTCAGTGTTTCCTTGTTTCATATTTGACATAACTTCTTTCTGAGATAGTCCTGCTTATGCATTCATCTACCATGTGAATTTTTAGGTGTTTTCTAGTCACAACAATGGATTCATGCAGATTCAGCTAGCTAGTGGCATCAAATCACTATATGTTGTTTATTTATAAAGTTAACTTTTCTCTACATTAGTTTCCTCATCTGTAAGGTGGGAAATTCATAATAGCCCTATGTGATAGTTGTTATTACTATTTCACTTTACATGTGTGTAAACTGAGGCAAAGAAAGATTAAATAATTTGCCTAAGGAAGTTTCATATGTAGTAATTGTTTCCATAATTCACAGCAATAAAAATGTTTAATTATGAAAGTTTTCTATGTTATTCCAATGTATGTATTTTTTCTGATTAGATTATTACAATAATATGTACCTTTTGCCCCAAATTCAATTAGAATTATTGAAAATCTCTGCTAATGTCATTTCCTGTGTGCTTCAGGTAATTTTCCACCCAAAATTGTACAGTGATAGTTGATGTGGTGTTGTAACCTTATATAGCCCACTGGTACATAGAGGCAAAGTTAGGAATATTGCATCCATTTTCATTCCACAAATTGTAAGAACCTATAAGGACGCTTGGTGGCGCTGCAGGATAAGAAGGTACAAACCGGAACCATAGCTGCGACTCCAATACGGGAAAATTTACCAGCAGAGGCTAGAAACCCAACCCAAGCTTGAATGCCACAGAAAGGAGGACTGGATCCTCTGAAAAGGACTCAAAAAAAACCTGGAATATTTCTCAGATATCTTGCGGAATACCACAGCATCAGATACTCGGGACTTTACAGTTCAGCAGACAATCTTGCAGTGGGCTGTACCAAACACAATGGAGGCCAGCGGGAAACGCATCTGCAGACAAAAGCAAGTCATTTTCTTTTTCCTATTGGGCTTATTTCAGGAGGGAGCGGGAGAGCCTAGGCGCTATTCTGTAGTGGAGGAAACTGAAGGCAACTCCTTTGTAACCAATCTAGCAAAGGATTTGAGTCTGGGACAAAGGGAATTCTCCAGGAGGGGAGTTAGAATCCTCTCCAAAGGGAATAAGCTACATTTGCAGCTCAATCAGGAGACGGGGGAATTGTTACTAAATGAAAAACTGGACAGGGAGGAATTGTGTGGGCACACAGAGCCCTGTGTGCTTCGTTTCCAGTTGATGCTAGAGAGTCCTTTAGAATTTTTTCAAGCTGAGCTACAAATAATAGACATAAATGACCACTCTCCAGAGTTCCTGGACAAAGAAATGTTGCTGAAAGTATCAGAGAGCAGTCCTTCTGGAACTACATTTCCTCTGAAGAATGCTCAGGACATGGATGTAGGCCAAAATAATATCGAGAACTATGTGATCAGTCCCAATCCCTATTTTCGGATCCTTACCCGAAAACGCAGCGATGGCAGGAAATATCCCGAGCTGGTGCTGGAGAAAGCGCTGGATCGAGAGGAGGAACCTGAGCTCAAGTTAACCCTCACAGCACAGGATGGCGGCTCTCCTCCACGGTCTGGCACAGCTCAGATCCACGTTGAAGTTGTGGACTTCAATGATAATGCCCCGGAATTCCAGAAGCTCATCTATAGGGTGCAGATTCCTGAAGACAGTCCAATAGGTTTCCTGATTGTCACGGTCTCTGCAACGGATGTAGACCTTGGAGTCAATGGAGAGGTCTCTTATTCACTGTTCCAGGCTTCAGATGAGATTAGCAAAACATTTGCAATCAATCCCTTGACGGGAGAAATTCGACTGAGAGAACAACTTGATTTTGAAAGAGTTCAGTCCTATGAAGTCAATATAGAAGCGAGAGATGCTGGAAGCTTTACTGGAAAATGCGCGGTTCTGATCCAAGTCACTGATGTGAATGACCATGCCCCAGAAGTTACCATGTCTGCATTTACTAGTCCCATATCTGAGAACTCTCCTGAGATGGTGGTTGCAGTTTTCAGTGTGTTAGATCTTGATTCAGGAGAAAATGGGAAAATAAGTTGTTCCATTCAGGAGGATCTACCCTTTTTCCTGAAATCTTCAGTGGAAAACTTTTATACCCTATTAACAGAGAGACCACTGGACAGAGAGAACACAGCTGAGTACAACATCACAATCACTGTCACAGATTTGGGGACACCAATATTGAAAACACACCTTAACATAACAGTGCAGGTATCAGACGTCAATGATAACTCGCCAATCTTCACACAAGCATCTTACACCCTATTGGTGCAAGAGAACAACAGCCCCGCCCTGCACATAGGCAGTGTCAGCGCCACAGACAGAGACTCAGGCACCAATGCCCAGATCACCTACTCGCTGCTGCCAACCCAGGACTCGCACCTGCCCCTCACCTTGATGGTCTCCATCAACGCAGACAATGGGCAGCTGTTCGCGCTGAGGGCACTGGACTTCGAGGCCCTGCAGGCATTCGAGTTCCACGTGGGCGCCACAGACCAAGGTTCGCCTGCGCTCAGCAGCCAGGCGCTGGTGCGAGTGGTGGTGCTGGACGACAATGACAACCCACCCTTCGTGCTGTACCCAATGCAGAACGCCTCTACGCCCTGCACCGAGCTGGTGCCCAGGGCGGCAGAGCAGGGCTACCTGGTCACCAAGGTGGTGGCGGTGGATGGAGACTCGGGCCAGAACGCCTGGCTGTCATACCAGCTGCTCAAGGCCACGGAGCCAGGGCTGTTTGGCTTGTGGGCGCACAATGGCGAGGTGCGCACCACCAGGCTGCTGAGTGAGCGCGATGAGGCCAGGCACAGGCTGGTGGTGCTGATCAAGGACAATGGCGAGCCTCCGCTGTCTGCCAGCGTCACGCTGCACGTGCTGCTGGTGGATGGCTTCTCCCAGCCCTACCTGCCGCTCCCGGAAGTGGCGCCCGAGCGCGCGCAGGAGGACTTGCTCACTGTCTACTTGGTCATCGCCTTGGCCTCTGTGTCGTCGCTCTTCCTCTTCTCTGTGCTGGTGTTCTTGGCGGTGAGGCTGTGCAGGAGGCGCAGGGCGGTGCCCCTGGGTGTCTGCTCTGTGCCTGGGGGCCATTTTTCTGGCCACCTAGTGGACGTCCGTGGCACTGGGACTCTGTCCCAGAGCTAGCAGTATGAGGTATGCTTGACAGGAGGCTCAGGGACCAGTGAATTCAAGTTTCTGAAGCCTATTTTACCTACTTTCCAAGACCATTCCCTTGGGTCAGAAATGTAACAAAACTCCAACTATAGAAATAACTTAGGTTTCAATATTCAGCTAAAATAATCTTTTAAAATATATGATATTTTAATTTTTGTGACAAATTCAAAGAGATGTTTTTTTCTGTCAGACTATTAATTTGCCTGTAGTAGTTATATTTTGACTGGATTAAAATACTGGTTTCTTGTTTTTTCTCCATGTGTGTAAAATGAGTGATCCTAAATTTTGCCTTTCAAACACTGCTGATGTCAATGGTCATACAAATCTTTGTTGTGAAAAAGTTTAGGAATAGGAAGGAAGTCTGGAAAATTAATTCTTCAGTCAATTGCAATTCCTCAAGTATTTTCTTAGTTGTTAAACCATTAAACATCTACAGAGCAGTAATGCACTAACACTCTAATGTCTAATCAGGAAGGAAGATAATAACTGTAGAGTGAGGATATCTGGGTCATGCTTTATTTTCTCCACATAGTAATAATCTTCTTTGGTACTGTTTTTTTTCTTAAAGCATTATATAATTGTGCTTCTTTTATCACCATATGAGGTTTTTGGGGTGTGTGTTTGTGTGAGAGAGAGAGAGAGAAAGAGAGAGAGAGATATGCTGGGGATTGAACTTGTGCATTCAAGGCAAGCACTCTACCAACTGAGCCATATCCCCAACTCCAAGCTTTTAATTGATTATTTTAAACTGATTTTCACTTAGCTTCATTGGTGTTAAAGGAAGGGATATAAATGTTGCACCATAACTATCTTGTGAGATAAGTAGCATAATAGTGAAATTGGCTTTTCTTCTTTGAGAAACATTAACTATCTGTGACAGACAGTACATAGGCCAATGTTTATTCATCTTTGTTTTTTAGTATTAGACCCCAAGTTTAGGGCATTAGTATGCTTCGTCAAAAGAATATATCTTCAAAGACTTCTTGGTGGTTAGAATTGGACATATGACTGTGTTCTAGTTTAGATGCATGTACCATAATTCTGGGAAACTCCCAAGACTTTTTTGGTTCTGGGAATTGAACCCAGGGCCTTGCACTTGCTAGGCAAAGACTACCACTTAGTTCCATCCCCTAAACCCAAGAAGACCTTTTAGAGGGAAATAAATCATCGGGAAGGAGTCCCAATTTTTCCTTCTCCAACAGCTTTGTGGTGCTTGAAATATGTATGGGTCATACACAAACAGTCATGCTGGATCCTAATGGTAGAAACAATGGACTGAGAAAGTGTAGTGACTATTTAGTCATCATGTCATCCTACTTCTGAATTTTTTACTTAAGCGGTAAGGGAACATTTATCTTATTAGCCCACCACTATTTCAGTTTTTATGCTGCCTCCAGTAGAATCTAATTAACAGTAATACATACATAAAATGCACAAATCTTAGCTATGCAGTTTGATGTAATTGATCTTTTTGACACTTGTGTGTTTCTTGATTTCTAATTTCACTAAAAGTAGTGTATCGTGCTCTATATTCATTATCTTTTTAATCTTTTCCTAAACCCTGAGGGAGCCAGCATATTATCCCCCTTTTTACATATGAGGAAATTGGAGATTTAGGAAGATTAAGTTACTTGCTCATGATTCTGAGTAATAAAGAGAAAAAAATTGAAATATAAATTTATGTCTACCTGAATTTAATGCCTCAGTTCTTAACCAGTATGCTAACTGGGATCTTAACAATGATCTTAACTGGGATCATTGTTTTCCAAAGAAGTAAATTCCACTATTAGTCTTAATCTTATTCCATGAATTAAATTCCCATGTGAAAATAAAATTTTCACCCTTTAGTTTGTATATATTTCTACACCAGTGACCACACTGCTGTAGATAAATAAAATCAAAGTTGTTGGAGAAGTTCTGTTTTAAGTATGCTGGGTCATCTACCACAATTGATCTGAATCAGTCTGATTGTATCAGTGGTGTCCTTAGAATGTCACATTCATTATTGTAGAAATGAGTGCATTGAGGTAGAGAAAAGGAAGATGGCGGCAAGGGGAGTGCATTGCCCCCGTGTGCTGCTTGACTGTGTGGGAGTATGACAAGTCAGGACGGCTAAAGGATATCTTGTTAGGAATTTCCAGCAATAGTGGGGTGCTCCGGAACCTGGAGGAAGGATTTCCATCGCACGAGGATCGGCTACGGAGACTCA